CACGAAACGTGAAACTAAATGGAAGCTGAGCCCCGGGCAGTGCGGGCTCAGGTGGTTGAGCCGCCCACCTTATGACCCTGGAGGTCATGGGCTGGATTCCTGGTCAAGGGCACATGCCTCAGTGCGGGGGCATGCAGGAAGGCAGCTGATCCATGATTCTCTCTCATCGTGGATGTTTCTCTCTCTCCCTCTCCCTTCCTCTCTGAAATCAATAAAAATGCATCTAAAAAATAAAAATAAAATAACGGAGCTTGAGTAGGAGCCCAGGCTCTGAGTCCGTGTCCCAGGGGCCCCAAGGCCGCTCTGAGGGTGGCCAGGTGGTCTCGGGGGCGGCAGGCGGGAGGCCCTGGGCCGGTCACCGTGACCTCACAGGGGCTTCCTTTTCCGCTGGGTTGACTCAGCGCCCCTGCAGCCTGCGCCCTCTCCGTGGCACAGGGGTGTCTCCCTGACCCCTGAGGGACGGGTCTGGGGTTTCACAGGATGCCGCAGGGTCTTGTTCTGATTTGATTTGACACGAAATGAAATGAAACACACAGATCTTGGCGGCGGCTGGAGCTTCGGGGCGGACGGCACACTGACCTGGTCGGAGGCGTAGGCCACCAGCTTCTCCATGACGGCGGCCTCCGTCATCCCCGGGTGGGCGGCCTGCAGGCGGCGTGTGGCTCTGCTCCGGGCGGCCAGCAGCGCCATCAGCGTGGCCTCACTGGCGCTTCCCTGAATCAGAGACGGCGGGACACGCTTCAGAGCACAGCAGAGGAGCCGGGCCCAGACTGAGGAGGCGCGTTATTAAATCGCAGGGGTTCAGCGTCGGCCCGTGAACCGGGAGGTCAGGGTCCGATTCCCGGTCAGGGCACAGGCCCGGGTTGCAGGCTCGATCCCCAGTGGGATGCATGCAGGAGGCAGTGGATGCATGATTCTCTCTCATCATGGATGTTTCTCTCTCTCTCCCTTCCTCTTTGAAGTCAATAATATATATATATGTTTATTTTAAAAAAGAGTGATTTTACAAAAGCCCATGACACCCCCGCCAGCCGCACCCCAGCGCCAGGGGTCAGCGGGTTGGGGGGCCGGCGCTGGAAGCCGGCTATCCCCGGGCGGTGGGGGCCGCTCCCCTGCTGGGAGCTCCATGAATCCTGCCCAGTCACAGAGACAAAGGTTGCCATGGCCGCCCCACCCCCGGGGTCACCCCCACAGGAAGCAGCTGGTCCTCCGGAGAGCTTTCAGACCCAATTAAGGGGCCACTTGCAGCCGGCTGGCCAGCGCTGAGGGTGATTTGACATTTGCCTCAGAGGCCGCCGCGCTGGCCGGAGGCTGTGATTATGGCTGGAACGGCGCGGGTCCCGCAGCCGGGCTGGAGCCTGTCCCTGCCCCTGGAGCTGGGGGGGCGGGGGGGCGGGGGGCCTCGCAAATGACCCCAACCAGCCTTGTCAGCCGGGAGGGC